GTAACAGCTTGAAGTCGATTGGTTCATCCTCAGCATCTCCACCATCAAGCTCTGGAAATGCCAGAGATATGTGTTTAACCGTCAGGCTTCATTAGGGGGATTTTAGTCCATTTGGGCAGTTTTTTGTTTTTCTTTTTGACGCCATTTCACCACCGTTTGTGCATACGGTACAAAATTTTGTCGCAAAACCTCTCGCTGAAAAAATTTAGAAATTCAATTTGGAATTTTTAAAATAGACTAAGGAAACACTAAGGAAAAAACAGTATACACTTGAGACTTTAGAGGACAGAAACATCCGCTTGTAAAAGTGGCCACAACAAATGCACACATTAATTATTTTTTTGGCTTTTTTTGCATAGATCAGTTGAACAACTTCAGCCCTGCTCAAACATAAAAAAATTCTATCATTTTGAGGCTTTTAGCCCTTGAAATGTCAGTTTGAATACTCAAAGTCATTGCTGTGATTTATGAAAAAATAAAAATAAAAACACAAAAACAGAGTTATTATCTAAAAAAGACTTTTTTTTTGTGCCTGGGGTATTTAGTACAAATCAGTCTTGATTAAGTTATGAAATATCTAAAATATAGAATTTTTTGCATTCATAGTTTTTACATAGCACCAGATTTAAAATTTACTATACACTCGAGCAATTAGAGGACAAAAACGTCCACTTTTAAAACTGTTTTAAAAATGGTCCAGATGAACATTTTTTTCTGCTTTTTGGGTCTAAATCTTGTGATCAACTTCAGTTCTGATTTTAAAAAATCAAATATTGAATATTTATCTAAATTTTAACCCTTTATATGCCAGTTTGATTATGTGATGCTCATTTTTCATGAAAAAGGCAGACAAAAGAGGAGATATTTTACATAAAACATATTTTGAGTGACTGACATCGTTTTTTTTAATCAGCCTTGGATATGTCAAGAGTCGGGCAAACCATCACATTTTATGCTTTTTTAGTTTCTGTGTAGCAGCATATTTAAAATTTACCACCCACTTGTGCCTGTTATGGACAAAAACATCCCATTGACTTCAATGCAAACCACAGTTTTTGATCCTGTATCATCTGCAACAAATAATCATGCTTTCTGTCTTTCAAACATGCGAAAAGTCACGGTGAGCACAAGTTCAGCACAGAAATAAAATAGAATTGGGTCTATTCCCAGCAATAACTAACTAGCAAAGGAGAAACACAACATTGTTTACTAACATGATGTTGGCTGTTAGGCTACCAAGTAGGGATGTGTATTGGTAAAAATCTGACGATACGATACGTATCACGATACAGGGGAGACGATACGATATATTGCGATACTTAAAGCCAGGCGATATTGCCGATTTTTAAGACTGAATTTATTGTAAGAAAATTCCATTAACAGTCCAACTAATACTTAGCATGCTTAACATGAGGTATTTGAAGCAAAACTGAGGGATCTGCATTTCAATGGAGGAAACAACTAATGAATAGAGAAATTAATCTCTGCCTTATCCAAAGAGGTCATATCAAAAATAAATTAAAAAGGTATTCCCTCAAACACATTTCAGTGAAATGTCAAGTATTTGTAACATGAAAAAAATATGTAAACAATTTCACATTCAGTGTTTTTGATTCTAATATCCAATTTTGCAACATCCAAAACAGCACTTTTAATGTCACCTGAAAATACACTAAACAAAAAATAAAGTGCTTGAAAACGTCTTACAGTAAACTGACGAGGTAAAGTGCCATTAAAATAAAGTACAGCACTGCAATTTTGACCAGTGGAAGAATATGTGCAACCTGAACAAAATAAATTTACTCTTCTGGCCACATTAATACAAGTTTTTCTTTGGTTGAACAAAAATATGTGCTTTTAACATTTTCAGATCTGAACATATGTTTCCTTGGAGCTCTAAATCTCCAGATTCTTGTGCAGGAACCAAGCCCCCACAATGCGGCTCTAAAATTGGTCCCAACCCGGAAGTAAGAAAAATTGCAGTTCCACCCTCATCCACTAGGGGCTGGTGTCAGAAGCGAGCAAATCCTCATTGACTCCCATGTTAAAAATACCAATTTCACAGCAGAAATAAACATGTTTACAGCCTGGTACCAAAATATGTTTTTGGTTTAAATTATCTAGTTTACACTCATGACAACTCTGAGGGGGGTGAATGTTTTCCTCACTCTTCTGTTTAAGTGTATTAAAAGCCTAAAATTCTGTATAATTAATTAGCATCAGACCCACGTGACCACAGAGCTAGCTCCGGGGAAAGGCCTCAGTAGAGCCTCGGTCTGGACTGGAAACTGTTTCGGGATTTTGAGTCTCTGTGTTTGTGTATTCTGTTTTGGATATTATTTGTGCAATTGTTGGACAAAATGACTTGCTGTGGTATTAATTGCATTAATAGAGCATCCAAGGAGTCTCCACTTCATTTTTTCGGTAAGTTAAAATGTATTTTAGGTCACTGCCACCTTTCAACTAGCTGAGTTTATCAAAGTAGCTAGCTAACTACCATTTTAACATGTAGCATTTACTGTTTAACCATGAAATTTAGATGTAAAATACGGTAAAATGATTAATAGGGCATTTGTCATTGGGTACAAGGGTAAAACCCAGTGCATTTAACTTAAAAATGGATTGAAATATGACGGACCTCTTGGAGGGACACTTCTGTGTTCCATTCTTCCACCCGGTTCTCCCCGGCGGTCAGCCCGGTGCATGTCTGACCGATGCGGCGCCTACTAGCTGCTCTCGGACGGGGCTGACTGCTCGTGGAGGTCTCGGACTCGTAGAGAGACCTGACCGCAGAAATACTGCAGCTCAGTTCCCTACCTAAATGCAAAGTTTGAGAGACGTGGTTCACTTAGGTCTGCACTGCCTTCGGGCTGATTTGTCAAGTTCACAAAATGTGGAACGGGATGTAAGGTTAGAATCAGCGGCGAATCGGAACATATCTCGAAGCCCTGGCCGACGAAACGGTCCACATGACTATTACTGTCCGGCTCGGAGAAAAGTCGGGTTGTTTTTGTGTCAGTCGATTCTGCGACAGTGACTCTAACTAACGCAGCAGTAGTTGACAGACATCATTACAGCATGAAATCCAGCACAGCGTGACCCGGTTCTGTAAGTAATTCTGTCTTCAGGAGGTCGCATTTCAGGCTCTTCACATCATAAGTGACTGACAATCACACGCTAGGAATGTTATAAAGCGCCTATATCTGACAGTTTCTTTTGTATATTATCTGACTTTATAAACTCCAACAACAATGTGCTTCTATTTTTTTTCAGGCTAAATCTACCCAAGACACTGGCTGTCAGACTGATTTAGTAGTCTGCAAGAATGCACTTGTCCAGGCTGACGTGAAGCCTAACCAGCGTAGCAAAGGTGAATTATTTTTAATAATCGTCTAAGTAAACATTTTATTATCACCTTCTAGTTTTAATTTGTTTTACAGATTATTGTTACACGTGATTTTATGCTCTTTTAAACATTTATAAATGTGCTGTTTCTTTGTTTTTTTATATAGCCAGCCAGGTTAGAGCTCCCAGCTGCTGTGGGTCTGGTGACACAGGGACCATGATGGAAATTCATCTTCCAGAAAGTCTGGCTCATCATTTAGCCAGATTTCTAAGGTATAGGCCAACAATGTTTAGGTTAGTTTTGATAAGGTCTGTGCGTCTCTCATTTCATGACGTAACTTTTCATATTTTAGTTCCTGGGTGCCTTCAGTGTGCAGGGACTGTCCAAGCAGTCATTCTGTCGACATCAGGCAAAGCTCTTAATTCCAATAGTGAGCTGGCAGTGGCAGCTACTGCAAGCTGATTTCATCCAGGCTACTGAATCTGGACCTGTGACTCTTGGTGGTGACATGCGAGCTGATTCACCTGGTGAATACGTTTAAATGTATTTATTTTATTCCTTTGCTATCAAATGTAAATTAAGTAATAACTTGCATTTCTGAAGGACACTCAGCCAAATATGGCAGCTACACCATGATGGATCTCAAAAGAAACAAAGTTATTGATATCCAACTCGTACAGGTACAACATTACCTGATGACTCCAATACATTTCATGGTTAATTATTCACAGATCAGTGGAGAATTATGTTTATTTTCAGAGCAATGAAGTTGGAAATAGTGTGCGAATAGAGAAGGAGGGATTTGTGTGAACTCTGAGCACACTTTTGGAGAGGGGGTCGATGTGCAGCAAGTTGTGACTGACCGCCACACATGGGTGCAGAAATATTTGCGGGAGGAAAAAAAGTTCTGCTTCCCTTCACCCGAGCCTCGCCTGTTTGATCCAGTCGAGTCACCGTGTGCACCTGCTCAGGACTGTTGCTGAGTGCCT